TGACATGTATATCGAAGACACTACGTGTTACAGACATACACTTGACAAACTTGCCGATCATCGAAAAATTCAAGTAACAAGGTCATTAAATGATGATTGGGAAGTAACGAGTCTTTCGGCTGGGATAAACAATTTATTCTCAACAACTATAACACAATATTACAATTGGGAAGGTGTGCATCTAGCATCTAAGATCCTAAAAAGAAACAATTATCACCAATTAATCTACATTTCATAACAAAGAATTTTGAACTTGAAAGATTTATATATGTTAGCATGTATACTGGAAGACAAAACAAATTTAATCGGAGAATTTATAAACAAGAAAAGCGTAAAGTTTATAATAGTGTTATTCCTATTCCTTATGAATTATGTGAAGATATTTTTTTAAAATTTGCCAAAAACATAGATTTTAAAGGAAGATACATTGAAATGTTTAAAGAAGATGGAGGAAGAATATTAGATACGATAATACAGTTTTACAATGAAGAAGAAAAGAAACAATTGGATGAAAATGCAAATGTAATAGAAAGCCAAATAATTAATAATTATGTTATTTCTTAATAAATTTTAAATATTGTATTATTTGTCTCTTTGTAAATTTTTTTTATAAAAAATTTTTATACAATAAATTTAAACCTAAAAGAAAATATCGAATTTGTGTTTATCAAAAACTATATATATATATTTTATATTTGTGTCAGATGGCTTAAATATATAATATTGATACAAAGAGAAACCTCTAAAATTTTGAAGATTTAGTTTTTTCTCGAATGCTAATATCCGAAAGAGAATTTTCACATGATTCTATATTTATATGGGCTGCCGTCAATAGAAATAAGGCAGATTGAATTTTTAAAAAAATCAATACTTTAATTTTCACAGCTCATATATCAATGAATTTTGAGGCTATCTTAATGATTTAATAGTCAAAAGAAAGCTTACGATCTAAGCTTTCTTTTGAATATTAAAATATTAGGATAGCTTCAAAACACATTAAGATATGAGTTGCGAAAGTTAAGGTATTCATTTTTTTAAAAATGTCAATCTGCCTTATTTCTATTGATAGCTGCCCATATATATGTGGAGATAAATATCAGAGAGACATGATATCAATACAATTAGAACTCAAAGTAGTTTCCAACTACGAAATCGTGAAATTAAAAATTATCATACCAACATTTTGTATAAAAAAGAATTGTTTTGAAATTCTTTCAAACAAAATTAGGGGTACTTAAAGAACACTGAACTCAGTGATCAACGATCACATGATAAACATATCATGACGTCATTTGTTTACCAGAACTAAACAAACTGGTCTAAACTAACCCCTACCCTAATCCTAAACTAACCCTAACCTAGGCCAAGTGATTGTCATGTAATACTGTGATGATCACTGAGTTTAGTGTTCTTTAATCTTCCCCAAAATTATTGATATGATACTTGAAAATATTGTTAATGATATTTTTAATTGGCATTGATAGTAAAGTGCTAATTTTGAAAGAATAACATGATTGAAATATTATATACTTGAATAAAATTTTAATAATTACCAATTTTCTAAATCAATTTTGCAACTTTATTATTCTCATTTTCAGAATTGACTACAGCTTGTAATATTTACCGTCATCTGGCAGGTTCTATTTTTCCGGTCAATTTTTATAGGGTTTGTTTGTTGGGATTCTGTTTGCAGGATTTTGACCCAAACCTACATAAATGCTGTCAGAAAAATTATTGAAGGTTATTAATATTATGTGACAAATTCTGACTTATTTTTAATATTAAAACCTCAGAAGTAATATGAACCTTTCTGCAATTATCTTTTGTATGGTGCACTAAGTCACTTATCATCAAATTTGGGGTATATATGCAGATCAAAGTATTTTTTTTATATTAATGCCAGATTTGGCTTAAATATGTTGAGATTAATGTTGTTAATTATAACATATGGTTAGTCAAAACTACGTAATATAAATAATTCATAAACTGCAGAACTGATGAATATCTAAATTTATATTATACATACTGTACTATTAAATATCAGTCATGCAAAATACATATAATCTGATTTTCATTCTTGAAATCAAAAACTGGTAAATATATAAGCCATGTAATTTCTCATTACCAAAACCAGAATTGAATAGTAGTTTTATATTAGCGTTAGATTGGTGCCAAATTTGGCTTAAATACAGTACTGTCAGAATTACAATAATAACTTAAAAACTGGTTCATATTATATAAATTCATTTGATATCGATATTGTATAATTCAAAAGAGATAATCTCTTAGTCAATTGTCATGACCTGTTCGAATTTTCGATCTTTTTTTGGAGCATCACGCAAATAAATAAGCGATTTCTATAAGAAAAGATTGTTAGATTAAGAAGCCACATGATAATCAGTACCAGATATAACAGTATAATTATGATTGGACTCTATTTTATTGAAACATGCAATTCTGAAGCCTGAAAAGTTTACTTTACATGATTTATGAAGTAAAATATCAAATATGATTGTATTAAACATCGAAACACAAATTAAAAATTTATCTTACAAATCTATTGACTGACCCCTTAATGCAGCACTTCTCTTAATTATCTTGATAAAGTAAAACTTCATGCGACATTGTCGAAATAGATTATTGACACGCTTGAGTTATTTTATTTTAATATCATCACGTAAATCAATCAATATCAGATATTACTGAAACACGCCAAAAAGTTCTTGAAGTATAAAAAAGCCACGTGATATATATAGTACAGTATATCCATACCAACATGATCATAACATTGTATAATTCAAAAGAGATAATCTTAGTTAATTGACAGAATTTTTGGTCTTTTTTTAGTGCATTGCCACAAACAAAATAAAATTTCACACAATTCTAACAGAAGATTGTTAGCATTAAAAAGCCACATGATTATACAAATCCGTATTAGGCATAATCAGTAGCAGATATACTGTAATTAAAACATGCAATTGTGAAGCCTGAAAAGTTTATCTTACATGAGATTCAGTTAAAATTATCAAGTCTATTGACTAACCCCTTATTTAATTCATCCATTGAATTCCTCCCGCTTTAAGAAATATAATTCACGCGTTTTACACGATTTATCATTGGAATTTTTTTTTAAAAAAAATACATGAATCAGAAAACTCATATATATCTACGATTTTTCCTTAAAACAAAGACTTCAATCGACGTAAATCAATGAATTACATTATAACTCCTCAATGGTAGCATTTCTACGTTGATGGTTGTACTTGCAGTCCATGTTTAAACTACTGCATTAAATATGGAATACAATTAACTGACAAACAAAATCAAAAAATAACTTGCCGTGAACAGAATAGACAAATAGCTTGCCATTACTCGCGAGAAAATATTACAGATTACTACCTACATGTTTTAAGAAATTCTCGAATCGAGAAAATTAATAATCAGGCTACGAATTTCTAATCCAACAGTCAAAACTCTCAACAAATTGAAAATCAACTTATCCAGCATAATAGTTCCAATATCTATAATCAAAACTCTCAACAAAACAACTTACAAAATGAATACTCACAACAAATTGTTTCCCAAAATCAAGCACTAATTACGATGATGCAAAACTTATCTAATAATACTTCTACTATTCAAGATACTCTTTTGGCTTCATGAGCAGCGCGGGTATCATAGTAAATTACAATGAAATGATCGTTTTCAGATAGAATTTTTTGGACATCACCATAAATCTATTATAAAAAAAACGCGTAAATGAAAAATCGGGCGCAGCAGCAAATTTATTAAATTAAATTTTACCTCAAAAACTAATCTCATGTTGATTTCTGAAAGAAAATTTGAGACATACAGACATCTGCAATCAAACCATCTCGGATCCATTTAAAGTTGATTTAGCAACTTTTTATTTTAACCTTTAAACTCTAGGATACAAAAAAAGAAAACCGAATATGACATGAAAAGAATTTACCTTAGTAAAGATGTCAATGCATTTTATATAGCATTCGCTATTTGAAAATCTATTGTTATCATTAGTGATAAGAAACTTGTTTTTAACAAGCCAAATAAATTTACATATATAAATAATTAAATAAATACAGTATATAAGAATTAAACTCGTTTTAATAACAAGAATTATTTCTAGTTATCAGTATTTTTTCTAGTATAATTTATATATTTAAAATTGTCACACAGCTGACTGTTTTGCTGTCAGTTGGTTTAGAATTAAGCTATCTGTTTATGTTATCTTTCGAATATAGTATTTATATATAACGTGTTAGATGAGTGACCCAAATTAATTTAATTTTGGCCGAAAACAAATAACAGCCTAAAACATATAACGAATATATATATACTAATATATATAAATTATTGCTCATTTTTACAATATACGTAAATAAAAGAATGGGTATTTAAATTTTTTATAATTAGTAATTGCCAAACTTATGAAAAATAAACCCAATTTTTTATTCTATTTAAGTACGATCATGTTATGCAAATTATTATGCAAATGAACGAGAAGTAATCGAAGATGCTAAAATTGTGAAATTTTTCTTATGGCATTAATTTACTATGCAAAGATGGAAAATAGGTGATGCTAATTGTAATAGAATTTCTTATTAATAAAGGGCAATTTTATAAACTCAGTAATCTAGAAAAATTCTCTTTCTATTTGTTAAAAATGTCAACATTTTTTATTTTGCTAATGCTCTATTATTTTCACAAAAAAATTAATATTCCTAGGAACAACAATTTTCATAATTTTTTTACTTAATATCAATAAAAGTCATTATAATTTGCACTCCACTTGTTGATATACAGTACATAATTATGACATAATTTCACATCTTAAAAGCTCAGAAATTCATTATGAAATAGTGTGCGACATTTTATTGTGATAATGTGACAAATTTCATAAACGTAGTTTTTATTATTTAAAAAGCTAATTATAAAATCGCTATGTAAAAAAAATCATTCCTAATAAAAGGACATGAAATGAACAAAATCTAATTAAAAGGGTTAGGTTTGACTGAAATCAAAAAAAAAAGAGAAATCAAAATGTGCTACTAAAAATGCATACTATTAACTACATCCATATGAAAAAAATATTATTAATTTTTTATACCATTTCTTTGTTTCATGATCCAATTCACAATACTACCAAGTATAGTAGGACCCAAGATTTTAACGAATTGACCTAAATCTATTTTTATAGTAAAGAACAATGCTCCGATTTGTTCGTATGCAGATACGACCGATAATTGTTTTATAATTAA